CCTGTTATCCCAGTGGCTGGGGAGGCTAAGGCAGGAGGGTCAAGAATTCAAAGCCAGACTCAGCAAAAACAAGGCACTAAGCAACTCAGTGAGACCCTGTCTCTAAATAAAAGACAATAGGTCTGAATATGTGACTCAGTGACCAAGTGCTCCTGAGTCCAATCCCCAGTACCTCCCCCCAAAAACGACTCAGTGACCAAGTGCTCCTGAGTCCAATCCCCAGTACCTCCCCCCAAAAACTGTTTCTTAAAATTTAAAAATCAAATGTATGATATGTCAAGGTCATTGTACTGTCATGTATAACTAATTAAAACAAATTAAAAAAATACAAAAAAATTTAAAAATCAAACACCAATTATAAGTATAGAAAATAAAGAATCCAAGTCAAAATGGCTTAAAGCTAAAAATTTTATTTAATTTACATCTTGTTAAATATTTTATATAAACAAAAACGTTTATAATTCAAATTTTCTGTGTTCATTTAATTATCAAAGGAAAGAATTAATATCAATCTTTATACATGTTATATTTAGACATGCATGCATTTATAAATGTGGGAATAATGGAATTTGTTCTATAATTTCACACTAATCCATGAGAACCCCTGGAATCACAAAACCAGAACCACAGAGAGGCAAAAAATTGGTCATTTTGATCCTGATGGGAAACGATACCTAGTTTATCAGGAATGAACACTGAATGAATGATTCATGCTCTCTGAAAAGAAGGAATGACAAATGCTTGAATCTATCTTTTCTGTTATCCAAACACTTTTGCCATTTAGACTCTCCCATACTCCTTAAGTAGATGTTGGCAGGGGCTCAACACACAAAATCTCACAGCATTCATGCAAGGAAATCTTGTCTCATGGACATAAAGCAAATATAAAGTCACAGCAGAAGACCTTTACAGTTATGGTGATGCTGGAGTAGTGCTGAGTGCCGGATCCCACACCGCAAAGACATGGGCACTCTAAAGTATGGCCCCGTGCCCTGGACACATGTTACAGGTTCTATGAATGGTACTACGCCAATAAAGTTCGACAAAATAGTATCTAGTGAAAGATAAAATAAGAAAAAGCAATGGAACTTATAAGAGTAACAAAATACAGTTAAAAACAGACAGAAGTTACCCCTGGTGGCAGTTGTAGAGGGAACAGAGATGGGTGGGGTAGAATGATTTCTGAGATGTCAGTGTTCTGCAAAATTGGATCCCAGCCAATTTTGCAGAACACTGACATCCATGGACTCTAACATGGACTTAATTTAAATTAATCCAAGGATCATTAGGGAATAAAAACATAAGTCAGTTTGCACTGTGGCATACTTAATATTTAAAATAGTACTTTGGCAGAGCATCAAGTACCAAGCTATTAGTCAGTCTTTCCATCACTGTGTCAAATACCTGAGAAAAAACAATTCAAAGAACGGAAGATTTATTTTGGTTCACAATTTCAGAGGTCTCAGTCTGTGGTCAGCCAACTCCATTGCTCTAGGTGAGGTGGAACATCATAAAGAAGAGCGTGGTACAAGTGTCTGATTTTGCATGAAAGTTTTGGCTATATTCTTGGATTTCTGGAATTCTTTGTAAAGTTTTAGAATAATATTGTTAAATTGTTGTTAAATTTAAATTTTTAGAATAATCTTGTTAAATTGTTAAATTCAATACTAACACTTTTTGAGTTAAAAGAAGAAAAAGAAGGAGGAGGAGGAGGAGGAGAAGGAGAAGGAGAAGAAAGAGAAGAAGAAGAAATATGCTCAGTTTCTAGAAGCCAGGAAGCAGAAAAAACAAGGAAAGGACAGGGTATAGGAAATACCCTTCTAGGATGTGTTCCCAAGAGACTTAGTTCCTCTAATAGATTCCGCCTCCTACGGTTTCCATCACCTTCCTAATAATCCATTCTAAAAAATTATTATTATTATTATTATTATTATTTTGTATCAGGGATTGAACTCAGGGGTGCCTTACCACTGAGGCACATCCCCAGCCCATTTTGATTTTGAGACAGGCTCTCGCTAAGTTACTTACAACCTCATTAAATTGCTGAGGCTGGCTTTGAACTTGGGATTTCCCACCTCAGATTTTTGGGTGCCACCATGCCTGGTCCATTCAAATTATTAATCCATCAAATGGATTAATATGTTGATGAGGTTAGAGCCCTTGTGTTGGAATCATTTCCTGCCCCACATTTAAACCTTGCCGCACTGGGGACCAAGCCTTCAGCTCATGAGTCTTTGGGAGACATTTCATATTTAAACTCTAAACAAGCATTTGAAGGTCCTGGTTCACTATCATTCCCACATTGAATGATTTCATAAAGACTTGAAATGTCTTCAAGAGCTCAGGTTTCCTCTGTTTTAACATCTCATAAAAGACAAAGCTCAACGGTTATACAGTTCATCACTATATTTTATTTTATACCTTTTCTTCTGATTTCCCATCAGTTTCCTTGGTCTTTCTAGGGACTTTTCCTATTGCTTATGTTCCTTTGTATAAGAGACAAAAAAACCATTTCCCAAAATATTACATGCTAGTGGCTTTTTCATGGATAGGAAACTGGCATGGTATGAAGAACCAGGTGTTGGGATATAGTCTATGATAAAAACTTGAGTCAACAAGAAGAATATGTGACTAAAGTGTTGAACATATCTGAGTTCAGATTAGACTCTCAGAGGTTATGAAATTTAGAGGAAAAAGCCTTCAGCCTAAAATTTCATGGTTCTTATTCTGACTCTTGGTAGGTATGCAGTAACTGGGAAGGTCACTTAGCTTCATCATCTGTAAAGCAAATTAGATAATATTTTCCTGGTTATGCTCCCAGGAGTGTTGTGAAGATCAAATGAAATACTGCACATAGAAAGGACTTTTAAATAAAACAGGCTATACAGATATTTGACCCTGTTACATAGTTGCAAGTCATTTCTCTTCCCTGTGGGGCCTGGGAAGGAAGGTGATTTACATGCAGGCTGAACTGCCTGGTCCAGACTGGATACATAGTAACGGGCTGTGCTAAATGTTTAAATGAGTGTACAGGATACTACAGGCAGATTAATTCTAAAGTTACAAAACACCCTTACAGTGTTAACTGGTGTGACCTATTTCATGTGCAAACAGAGAAGTGAAAAATTCTGCTCCATTTGTGTACAATGAATCGAAGAGCTTTCTACTGTCATGTATAACTGATTACAACTAATAAAAAAAGTGCTCCTAAAATTTTTATTTCCTTAAATAGAGTAAAGCAAGGCTCATGTTTTAAATTTAGTTTTATTTTTGCCTATTTAATTAAACAGAAATATGTAGTAATGATATTATTTATTTAACATTTATTCTGTGCCATGTAATATTTAAATGCTTTCTATGTATTAACTAATTTAATCCTTCCTTGAACTCTATAAAAGCATTAAGTTTTTACCATCCCATTTTATACGAGGAAACTGAAATACACAGGTTAGTGACTTGCCTGCTTCCACAGGGATAATAAGGGGCAATGGGTTGAACTGTGTCCACCAACAACTTCATACATACTGTAATGTCCTAATCCCCAGCACCTCTGAATGTGGCCTTATTTGGAAATAGGGCTGTAGCAGATGTAATTAGTTAAATTAGGATGAGGTCATACTGGAGTGTGACCCTAACTCAGTGTCCTGATTAAAAAGAAAAAAATTTGATGGACATGAGCACAGAGGATTCCTTGTGAAGATGAAGAAAGAGACTGGCTGAGGCTTTTGTACCTAGGGACACCAAAGATTGCCTCCAACCACCAGAAGCTGGTAGAAGCATAGAGCAAATACTCCTTAACAGTCCTCAGAAGGAAGCTACCTTGGTGACGCTTTCATCTTGGACTTCTAGCCTCTAGAGATGTGAGACATGTTTCTGCTGGTTAAACCACGCTGGTACTTTGTTACTCTAACTGTAGTAAACTAACACAGGGGGAGAACCAGGGTCAAAACAGGCAGGGAGCTCCAAGACTGCAAGCTTATCATCTCATTCTCTGCCCCTCCCATAACAGAGCCAAGCAAAATTAAACAGACATCCCCTTCCAGACCAGTCCAGGAGATTTCAGCTTTTAAAACTAGGCAGGCAAGCAAATGATTGAATAGTCTTTTTTTTTCCCCCCTTACGTGTATCATGGTGCCCCAGAAACCAACTTTCCTGATCTCTAAATTAAAGGGGCTGTTTGAGTGCATCCTCTGGCCAGACCATTTTTTCCGTAGACCCAGAAGGCTAAATCCACTCAGTTGGCTTCTTTAACTCTGATCCCGTTCTGTAATAAGGGTTTCGAAATACAAATATTTGATTTTTGGAAGCAGCACCACTCTTGGGAGGTTAATAATATCCACATTTGCACTCTTTCAGGTTAAAAGGTGTCCTGTGGGTGAGAGTAGGGGCAGTGTCCCTCCCAGTTGTCACTTCAAGCAAGTACTGGCAGAAAAAGAAAAAGGCTGTCCAGGCGGCTCGGAGACCTGCAACAAGCCATGGGGGTCTGGAGAACAGGAGCCTTTGGAGAGAGCTCTCTGAAATATTGAATGTGTACCTGCCACAGGTGCTTAAGTGTAGGAAGCCGTTGAACCAAGGGGGCGCTGCGATGCGGGCGAGGGCCCCCAGGGCGAGAAACAGTCCCAAGACCATGCCCCTTGAAAACCGCCTGGGAGCGCCTTCCTGGTCTGGGGTCAGGATGGTCTGGGAGGTAGGGAGGTCAGGGGCAGGGTCAAGGTCATAGGTACAGGGTGGACAGGAGACCAGTTTTGGTCTGAGAATTTTGATCTCCTTTTGTGCATTCCCGGTGGCAGAAGATCTTGGCCTGTAGGAGACTGACACGACAACCCCCTCCCGTGTTTTAAGGGATATCTCTTAAAACCAGGAGGCTGGATGGGGGCGCATCCGGCTCTTTGACTACATTGCTCCTCTAGCCCCTCGGCCTGCATCGCCGCGGCTTTCTTCTTAGGCTGGGAAACGGACTGCGCACGTCGGTCGCCGGCACCTATTCGGCTCGCTGCGCGCGTGCGTTCTCTCCAGAGTGCAGGCTGCGCGGGGTCTGGGGACACAGTTCGGGCGGAGTTGGCGGCAGCCGGGGGCAGGCACTTTTGAGCTGGGAGGGAGGAGCTACCTATTTCCTGAATCGCCTGCAAACTCCAGAGCCGAGGCGTGGAGAATTCGGCCGGCGCTGCGCCACGATGTCGGGGGGATCAGCCAGGAGCCTAGCAAAGGGTGAGGCCTGCCTGCCGGCAGGAGCGGGTGATCTCGGTGCCCCCGAGCCGCGTGTTGGGTGAGGCTACTCCGGGAGCCTAGTCGCGCGGATGGGGAACGGGCCCGGGCCGTGTTGCGGGGTTCTTTCCGTGGAGTCTGGGGGGACCGCGGGAGGCTGAAGGTCGCTGGTGCCGGGACCGTAACCGCCTCTGCTTCTCCCCGGCAGGAAGCGCGCCCCCAGGGCCGGTCCCGGAAGGCTTGATCCGCGTCTACAGCATGAGGTTCTGTCCGTTTGCCCAGAGGACGCTGTTGGTCCTGAAGGCCAAAGGAATCGAGTAAGAACGGAGGCACCAGGCACTCCCGGATCCTGCAGAGAGGCGACTGCGGCGGGCGGCAGGGCTGGGAATTTTGGAGAGGGCATTTGGAGATCTTTTTGTGTTTTACGACAGTATATTGTCAGCCTTTTGTGGGGAATATGGCAAATTACAGACCCTTTCCTCAAGAGGGAAAAATGGCACAGACTCCCCTAGTTTAGGACAGCTCATTCCATATTAACCAACATTTTATAAAGAATTGGAGAAGCTAAAGGTGCAGTAAAGTTAGTGATTTGCCCAAGATCTCTCTTGGATAAGATCACTGGCGATCATTGGCAGCAGTTTAGCTCTGGTAGGCCCCAGGTTCCTGGTTCCGTGTTTTTTGCTTTCACACCCTGGTGACTATTCATTCTTGTCTGGTTATTACTCATGGGTGCTCTATGGAGCCTTCCGAAACAGTAATTTGCCCTAGTACAGGGTTGACCCTCCTTGGAAGAGCGCGGAGTTAAATATCCTGGCTACACCCCGGTAGATTGTGTTGTTACTTTAGTCAACATAAAATAAAGTGTCTGGGGCTGGGGTAGTAGCTCAGTGATAAAGCGCTTGCCTAGCATGTGTGAACCCCTGGGTTCTATCCTTAGCACCACGTATAAATAAGTAAAATAAAGTTCCATTGACAACTAAAAGTATATATGTATGAATTGTCTGTGCCTAAAAATTCAGTCTTTTGCGAAGCCTCATTATTGAAACTATCAGTTGTTGACTGATGGGTTATTCATAATGGACAGGTCACTTGGTTTTTCTTATGCCTGGTGTCCATTGGAACAACTTCCCTTCCAGTGACCTGGGGAATCTTTTGAACCTTTATTAGATACCGGTGGTGTAGAAGGCTCTGTGGAAATTTAAAACAACGTTCTTAAAGGAGTTTTCCTTCTATGGGCTTAGAGTTTGTAATTTTAATCATCTAAGGGGAAAATTGGTTAAGTAGACACTTCTCCTGAAAAGAAATGTAAGATGATTTTGAAAGAAAAATTATTTTTGGATTAGCTACCACTTCTCTAAGACTTGCATTTCATTTGGATGAAATTATGATTTTGAGAACATAAAATGTTCATTATTTAGTAATGCTTATCTAAAACACTGTAATCTTTGCTGTAATCTTTCATTCCAAGTAAGATTAAAATTGGATTAAAAAACATTTCTTATACTTATGTGATGGATAATCTAGGAGTAGGACATAATGGATTCAGGGGATCAAAGTCATGAGTTATGTGACTCCCTCTGGAACCTTAGGTTGAAAACATCTATCTTACTGAGACAGTTTTCTAAAGAAAAATGAAATTATTTTACCATAATAGTGGGGAGGGAGGCTCTAGTGGGGGAGGTAGTGCATACAATAGAGGTCTACTATGTTGATGGATCAGTTTTAACTTTGAACCCCAGGAAACTTTTACTGGTGAAGTACTAGATTTTTACCACATGATGTAACTATTCAATTATGGTTTTCCCTAAAAGGTATATCTTCCAGCTTTGGGAGTGGGGGTACTGGTATATTGTTGGCTCAAAATGCCAGGCTACCAAAATGCATGTGTATTCTGAGAGACTTCTTGATGGCAAAAGCCCAGGATCTACCTTTTGTTTTCATAATATAAATTTTCAAAAAATGTTGATAATTCTTTGGCAGGGATTCCTGTTTTTCTTCATAATTGGCTGGAATGTGAATGCATTCAGTATTGTGTCAGCACATGAGCCTTTTAATACACACACACACACACACACGTTCAAATTGATTATTCGTGTGTTTCTACAGAGGATTATTTATTTAAAATCTCACGCCAAATACTGCTCTAGCTACTGCTATGCATGGAGAAACAGGAAACAAAGATGTTGGTGTCTATTACTTTTGAGTAATTCTTCTATTGGACACTGATCCAGCTTTGACAATTATATAAATCTGGTTTTAACAATTACATGACATTTGCCCTTCTTTTATTTCTTCTTTAATCTCTCAAGCAAGATACATGGTAGTTCTAATTACAGTCTGAAAATAGCCTGGACTTCACCTGTTTTTTTCCTTTTTTGGTTTAACTTGAATGCTTTAAAACTAGTTACATTTTAAAAAGCATAACAACTTATGGGGATTTAATTTGAAAGTTTATTTTGTGAGTGAATTTTTTAAGATCCCTTAATAACTCTTGGGGGAAAAAAAAGCAAGTTTTTTTTTTTTTTTTTTTGGTCGTTGTTGTTAAATTCAGAGTAATTGAATCAAAGTGAAAGAAACTGAATTTTATCATGTTAATTCTTGTATGGTGTGTAGTGGATACAATTCAATTAGATGCCCATTTCTTTGAGATCAATATCAGGATCTCAAAGAGATATTAGCACTCTTACACAATTGGTCTAATGCCAATATCCATCCATAGATAAATAAATCAAGAAAATGTGATAAGTACATACTGTTCCACCTTTAAAAAGGGAATTCTGCAATATGTGACAACATAGATGGACCCTGAGAACCTTATGCTAAGTAAAATAAATCACTCAGATGAATACTACATGATTCCACTCATAGGAAGTGGAATAGTCAAAACAGTTGAATAGTCAAAATAGTCATATTCTTTTTATTTTTAATTTTTATTTATTTGTTTAGGTATTAGGGATTGAACTCAGGTGCTTTACCATGGAGTTACATTCCCAGCTCTCTTTAATTTTTTTTATTTTGAGACTGGCCCACACTAGCCAAGGCTGGCTCAAACTTGTGATCCTCCTGCCTTTGCCTCTCAAATAGCTGGGATTACAAATGTGTGCTACCACAGCCAGCTAAAATATTCAAATTCTTAAAACAAACAAACAAACAAACAACAACAAAAAACTGGTATGGAGGAAATCAAGGCAGAAATAACCCCTAAAATTGGGGTCTGAACTAAGTAGATGGTGGGACTTAAAAATTTATACAGAAATACAGAAAATGGTTCAGTCTCTTCATAGTCTTGTATCTTTCAGGCATGAAATCATCAATATCAACCTGAGAAATAAGCCTGAGTGGTATTTCAAGAAGAATCCCCTGGGTTTAGTGCCAGTTCTGGAAAACAGTCAGGGTCAGTTGATCTCTGAATCTACCATCACTTGTGAGTACCTGGATGAAGCATATCCCGGGAAGAAGCTGTTGCCGGATGACCCTTATGAAAAAGCTTGCCAAAAGATGGTCTTTGAGTTATTTTCTAAGGTGGGTATACAAGGAATTTCAGTTTCTATTTGAAAATGCTTTGTTTTTTTAAGTAAATCAACACTGTAATTTATGATGGTTCAGTGATTTGGGAGTGGAAGACAATAGAGCAATATGCTCTTGTCAGCTTGATATGTCCCATAAGTCCTTCCATGATCTGGTTCCCTCTTACCTCTCCAAAGTGTTCTCTTTTCACTCTTCTGACATTTTGTTTTCCAGTCATTCTGCACTTTTCCCCATACTTGGAACCTTCTCTTTCTCAACTCCTGATGGACAAGGCTCTCACAGTCTTACCTGGCCTGGTTATTCCCCAGGCATCTTTCACATATCTGCCTGGGTATTGCTACCTTCCAGATGTCTGTCTGGGCTGGTCAGTGCTCTACTCTGTGTCCCAGATATGCTCACTTCCCTGTTGTGACACTTGGCCCTCGTAATCACCCACCATTTGCCCATGTATTGCACTGGCAATGTGAGCTCTGTGAGTGTGGAGGCTGTGTTTTGATCACTCTTGGTCCACTGCTTGCATTTGTGACCAGCTTGGCTACTTGCACATTGTGTGACTCTGAGCAAGTTACTTGTTACTTTGCCTCTTAAGTTCATCATTTTTAATTATTTATTTAGTTAGTTCATCATTTTCAAATAAGTATAATTGTTCCCATCTCATGAGGTAAAAATCAATTAATATGAAACACCTAGAGCAGAGTCTGTCTCATGGGACCTACTCAGTGTTAGCTCTTGTTACAGTCATAGCATCTAGCAGTGAGCATCAACTCTGTGTTGGCCCTAACTCTCAGCTGACTGAATAAATGGAATCCCTTAAGAAATGTTTACATCATTAATTAGCATCAACATGGATTTGTTAACAATTAGTATCAGCAAAGAAAAACCAGTGGATGTGTATGTAGATACCCAGAATAGCAATGTCCTACTACATCCCTTTAAACATTATTACCTTGGTAACATGGTTAGTATATAAAGGAATGCTTTGCCTCTAAAGAAAGAATGTGTTTTAAAAATACTTAAAATATTTGAGAGATTTATAGGGAGATCTTCTTGTTTTAGGAGTATTGCAAAGGTATAGGGAAGGGAGGAGAGAATCATGTGGCTTCCCAGGATAAGGGTCAAAGAAAAGCAGAGTGGCTGCTGTTAAAGTTGGTGGAAATGGAATGTGACTTTTACAAGAAATGTTGAGGTGTTTAAAAATTGGTTCCAAAATTCATTGTACCATCCAAAAAGAAAATGAGCATGAAAAGTAAAGCTGGAGATTCCCACCATTATTTCCCTGTTCACTTTCAAAAAAAGATGGCTTATGATCCTGCTCTCCTGGCCACAGCTCATTAGTCCAGAAATAAACCCCAATCCCGCCTTGCCATACCTGGCTAGTCATCTTCTCTCCTGGGAATTTAGAAATTTTGACACAGAAACTAATTCAGTAAAGGTGTTAAGGAAAAAAAAAACAAGTGGATATGTGTGTGTCAGTATAAATCAGTATAAAATAGATAAAGGAGACTTGAAAAATCAAAGCCACAGAAGTTCATCTTTAGGGGAAGCAAAAATGGAAGAGCATTGAGTGGAAACTGATATACGGAAAACAAGAAGAGACAAAAGGTAAGGCAAGTGAAGATGGAAATGCAGACAGAACCAGTAAATCAGGTAGAGATGGAAATGCAGACAACTGTTGCCTGCAAACCTTCAGTTCCAAAAGGGCAAGCTGTACTGACATTGATGGGATTTCATGAGATTCTAATGTTTTTACAAGTACCTGTTTATTTAAATCGGATTAAGTGTGCTTCTCTGAATGAGATCTTAAAGACCAAATATTAAAATACAGAAATAATGAGCATGAAAAGTAAAATTGGAGATTCAGTGCTTTCACTACAAGCATTGAAGCATCTGATACTACACCTGTCATGTCTTTAGGTAATCCCGTTTGTACCACCTCTTTATGTAGAAAGGTAGAACTCAGAAAAATGCCTTTCCCCAGTTCCCTCTACCACTGGGGCCATTGCCTGTGATCTAGGTTCTTCCTATCACACACGTTAGCATTCAATTCAGACATGATATGAAGCTTGGTAAGGGTCGCTGGTGCTGCTGGTGGCAGAGCTTCCAGCTCTCAGGTGCAGTGGAGGTTACAAGATTAAATTCCAGAACAATAATGGCACGGGGGGCTAGCAGCACTAGTGATAACCTCAGAATCCACTTACTGGCAGCAGCATGAGCTGTAACATTAATGCTCAGTTGCCACTGGCAGCAGTGGGCACCTCCCATTAGGCCAGTTCTCAGATTTTGGAGTGTTCTTAGATCCAGGTCTGTTTATTCGGCCTCCCAACAATCCTTTTTTTTTTAATTTTATTTTTTTTATTAGTTGTTCAAAACATTACATAGCTCTTAACATATCATATTTAATACATTTGATTCAAGTGGGTTATGAACTCCCATTTTTACCCCATATACAGATTGCAGAATCACATTGGTTATACATCCACGTTTTTACATACTGCCATACTATTCTATTGTATTCTGCTGCCTTTCCTATCCTCTACTATCCCCCCTCCCCTCCCCGCCTCCCAATAATCCTATGAGCAATTCATAAAATCCTAACCAACATATCATCTTAGTCTACAAAACTGTTTCTAAGATCATTCTGTGGCCTTTGTTAATGTAGGGACTTGGTGCACCTGAGACATTTTTGGAATATCATACTATAAGAATTTTATTGTTTTTTTGTTTTTGTACTGGGGATTGAAGCCAGGGGCACTTTACCAATGAGCTCCATCCTCAGCCCTTTTGATTTTTTTATTTAGAGACAGGTTCTCACTAAGTTCCTTAGGGCCTAAATTAATCATGTTTTTATGTAGGAGTGCTAAGGTAGTGAGCCTCAAACTGATTCACTAAGAAATCATTCTCTCCCTAGGTACCATCTTTGATGGCAAACTTTATTAAAGGGCAAAATAAAGAAAACTGGTCTGGCCTAAAAGAAGAATTGAAGAAAGAATTCAGCAAGCTAGAGGAGGTAATCGTTTCTCATATCTTTGATCATGATACAAGATACTCTATATCTACCTCCTTTTCCTTTTACTCTTTTTTTCATACTTCCATTTCCCAAGTCACTTTATGGCAATTAGGAAGAATTCAAAATAAAAAAATTAATTTAAAGTTGATTGCTGTAAGATGTTCTGCTTATGATATAAACCCAAACACCCAAAAGCACTGTCAAAGGTTTGTTTTTAAAATACTTTGTTAAATTGACATTAAAATAACAAAGAAAAGAGAAAAATATTATACACATCTCCACAATTTGTCACCTGTTTCCATTTTTACATTCTTGTTTCCAGTCTTTGTCTATATTTTTAAAAAATGTGATCAGAGCATGGATGTCATTGTGTTTTCCCCCCACTTGGTATTATATAATAAAACTTTTCTCACTGCAAAAAGATTGCCATGAACCACACAAACACTTGAGGAAGCCCAGATGTGTTTTGTCTTTTTTGGAGAGGCTGTAATATAGGCTTGAGACAGAGCCTTCCTCTTAGCCTTGAGATATTCCATTCATACACAGCCTTAAGTTTTACTGAGAGAATTCACACTTGCTGTCATTTATGGGAATGAGTACCGAAGTTTACTGTGAGTTTTTCCTGAAACTTTTTTCATGGAGTTTCAATTTGCTAATTTTTAAAAAAATCGTGTTTAATTTTTTTGGCATCTGTTACATCTACTGAAATGTTCACAGAATTCTCCCCTTTTATCTGGTGAATGTGGTGCTACTGATAGATTTTTCTGGTGTCTAACCAAACTAACATAACTGAGATAAAACCTTGTTCTCAATGGACTTTCCTATGTACTGTAGTTCATAAAGTTAATATAATCCTTAATAAAGTTTTGTACATGTGTTCCTAACTGAACTGACCCATAATCTATTCTCACAGTATCTTCAATTGTTTTGTTGTCTGGAAATAGTCTAACTTCTTTTTTCTTGTACTGGGTATAGAAGCCAGAGGGGTGCTTTCTCACTGCGGGGTACATCTCCAGCCCTTTTTATTTGTTTGAGACAGAGTCTGTACTGGCCTTGTATATGCCATCTTACCTCGACCTCCTGAACAGCTGGGATTACAGGCTGATCTAACCTCTTAAAATGAGTTGGGTAATGTTCCCTAATTTTTTCTAATCTGGCTGTTTCTGTAAAACATTTGAGCCTGGTGTCTTTTTTTACAGAAGTAGATTTTTCATTACCAGTTAAATTTTCTTAATGGTAATTGATGGGGGCAGGGGTTATATTTCTTCCTGAATGATTTTATATTCTTCTGTTGGACAGTGTAAAAGCTGCAAAGATGCAGAACATAATTCTTTAGATAATTGCATTTTAGTAGTATTTACTGAGATGAATAGTTGGGTAGATATAATCAATCAAAAATGCATAATGTTACATGGGCCCTAAGAAAAATTCTGGAGTTTATTTATAAAGGGAAACATTTCTTGGTGCTTGTTTAGTTAGCCAGACAAGAGTCTCAATTTTCCCCTTTGGCAAAACCTTAATGTCAATTCACTTTCTTAAATTTCAGAAACATCCTGTTTGTGCTTGGTTTTCAAGTAATTGTCATCTGTTTTACAGTATTTTTCCTGTATATTTCCATTTGTTTAATCCAGTCTATTTCTGGTATATTGAAGACATTTCTTAATTGAAAAAACTGCAACCAGAGAAGCACCCAAAGCATATGAGTACTACATGATGGATTTTCTCAAAGTGAACACAATCATGGTAGCAGACCCATATCAAGAACCAGAATATCAGTTTGGGTTCTTTTTGTGCTTTATACAAATGGAATGATATAATACACACTCTTTTGGATTTGATGTCTTTCGTTCAATATTAAGTTTACGTTGTGTAGTTCTTTCCTGTTCTTTGTACAGTGTTCTACAGTTTGACTACAACACAACTTATCTAATGTAATCCCAATTAACATTTTCACATTTGAACTATTACAGAATTTTGATTGACTTATGTTACATTTCCAAGTAGAACTGCCAGGTTACAGAGTATGCGTGCTGCTAAAACCTGTTATACCAATTTATACTCTTACCAGCAATGGTTCCATCTTGTTCATTTAGCCATTCTAACTGATACACAGTGCAATTGCTTTTTAGTTTTAATTGCATTTCCATGACAACTAATGTAGCTGAGCCCCTTTCAAATGATTATTGGCCATCTGGACATCCTCTTGCTCATTTTTCTAATGAATTTTTTGCCATTTTTCTTACTGACTCCCAGTTATTTCTACATTCTGCATGTAAGTCCTGCATTTTACAGGGATCTTATGCTTTGTGACCTGTTTTTCTCCATTTTTCAGATTATTTTGTTCATCGTTTCTTTTTATGCCAATCCAATGGACTCTAAAGCTGTTTAAACTTTTGATCAGACAAAAACCCAACTTGGATATGTCAAAATAAGAGATGTTGCTCTCATATGCTTTACTTAATTTGCCTTCATTGTTTCTGATGATGATTCTTACTAGATGCACAAATTACCAGTACTCTTTATGTTTTTAATGTTCAGGTTCTGACTAATAAGAAGACAACCTTCTTTGGTGGCAATTCTGTGTCTATGATTGATTATCTCATCTGGCCCTGGTTTGAACGGCTGGAAGCAATGGAGCTAAATGAGTAAGACCTTCAAATATTATGTCCATGATTTAGGATAGTTGAAATAGTACACATTGTACTTTTTCTGAACAAATAAAAGTTAAAAAAAAATAAAATTAAAATATTTAATACAACTGGTATGCATGAAAACAGACAGGAGGGTCCCATGCTATCTAAAGCAAGTCATATACTTACATTTGCTACTCCTTGGAGGGTGTGACATGGAATAAAATGCTTCATAATTTACTTCTTCCCTCTGGATTAAAAATCCATAGGATGTACATTTTTATAAGGATGTTTTGCAGGATTCTATGACCAGGGTTAACCTCCCAATTACCAATAAGATTTCCACGCTATTTTCTAAAATGTTTTGAGTTTTGTCAGCCAGCCACCCTGACATTCTCCCACTTCTTAGAGACTACAGCTATTTAGGATTACTTTTTAGTTACAATCTGGTGATAGAATAATTAAAATTTAACATTCTTGTTTGTCTTCCAAATTCTCTCTTAAAAAGCTATCAGTCTCTCAGTTTGGACAAGTGCTTATGCAAACTGAGCAAGTCACTTTACTCTCAGATTCCTGTTCTATAAAACAAAGAGCTCTGTGATACCTTTAAAATCTAATAGTCTGTGATTACATGCACTTTAAGGAAATGTTTTTAATCTTTAAAAAGGTTAGAGGAAAACAAAATTAAATTGCAGACAAGGATAATTATCTTTAGAAGATTTTGTGATGCCAATCTAGTTTACCTAGCTCACACCTTTTTCTGGCTTCCTTCCACAGGTGTGTAGCCCACACTCCAAAACTTAAGCTCTGGATAGCAGCCATGAAGAAAGATCCCACAGTATCAGCCCTCCTCCATGATGTGAAGACTCATCAAGGATTCTTAGGCCTCTACTTACAGAACAGCCTGGAGGCCTTTGACTATGGGCTCTAAAGTGGGCAAAAATCAACAGTGAAGTTATGTCTAATATTTTACTTCACCTATGTGTATAATAACATGCTTTCATTTTATCAAGTGCATTCCCTTGGCTCATTTGACTAATTTGACATATGATCTAACTAAGGAGTCTCCTCAAGGCCCTCCTAGAGAAATGTAAATGCATTTCCTATCTCAAAATACTCAAATGACTTAGAGGATTCTATCATTATCTGTGCTGAAAATCCCAAAACTAACATCTTTAGTGAGATCTGGACTTTATAATCTAGATTTCTATGTGCTCATTGGAAATTTCCAACGGGACAACCTATTGTCATTTCAAGAGATGCCCTGTCAAGTTTCCTGTCTTTTAGTTTCTGAGTTGAGAAACCTCCCTCATTCTTTCCTTTCCATCATCCATTTAATCTCACTCTCTCCACCTCACCTTAAGTTAGGTAACTGAATGGCCTGTTTGGTCTCCCAGCCTCCAATCTCCTTCAAATCCATCCTTCCAAATCCCATACTGGACACTTAGTAGGTGTTAAATAGTGGGAAGACCACATTGATCAATTCATTCTATAAGGCTGTATAAATAATAGGTAATGTCCCCACTGAGAAATATTAATGACATCTTCCATAGTTTCCAGAGTCCAGTGGATTTCTATTTTTATCACCACTTCACCGCCAGGAGAAGGCAGATCAGAGAGCCTCATTTTATTCTAAACTAGTCCCGAGGGTAAATGAGGTCTTAAGACTCTGGCAGAAGGATCTGGAGAACACATCCAGGACACTTTTCTTACCATCACAATCAAGGGGCTGCCTACCTGCCCCAAAGTCTGGTTTCCTGTACTCAGGCTCAGATTTGCTGGTGAGGAAAATGTCCGAATGATTAGGTCTTTTACGAGTGCCTAAGAATCACCCACGACTCAGCGCTGCATTTCCGATTTAATAGGTTCAGGGTGGGCCGCGAGTTCTACATTGGAAATGAGTTCCCCGCCCCATGATGATGTGGGGGCCGCACCCTGAGAGGCAGCTGAGAACCGGTTGACTTCACAAACGGCCTCTGACTCCTGCCCCCAGCCGCTCCAACGCTCCAGCCGCCGGCGTATCCATCTCTGCCGCCGTCGCCAGCCCGCCCCGCCAGGCGCGGCGGCTCCCGGCGAGTTTTCAAACAAAGTGTAGTAGGGTCCTGTGGGGCCACGACCAACCACTACCTGGTTTCACCTTAGGCCAGCCCTAGTGACTAGGCCCTCCACTTCGGTATCAGAGCTGTAACGCAGCCTCCCATTGGCTCTACTCAGCACTGTTCGGCAGGCACTTCCAAAAGCTCTGAGGATTGGCTAAAGCTCTGGACCCTGCGGCCAGTTGGCGGGTAGGATCACGTGAGAAGGGGCGTGTCCCACATGGGCCCCGCCTCCCTCTGCGCCATCACCCCTCCCCATCCATTTCCGGCGGTCAGGCGCCTTGAGGTTCCGCTAGGGTTCCGTCTCTCCTCTCACCTCTCCCTGGAGGGTTGGATGTGGCCTTCGTTGTGTTGGGAGACCAGAGGGGTCTGAGGTCATTTCTGAACTTTAAGATATTCATGAATTTTAGGACCCAGAATAGCATCGCGAGCTTTTTTAAAATTTTGCATTTTAACACTTTAACTTTTAGTTAAAGCCCAATTATTTAACCTTCACCAGTGTTTCATCAGAGAATTTAACGTAAAACAAAAACAAAACAAAACAAAAATACAAGGGTTATAATCCAAGAATAAAGAACAGGCCTTTAAATCAAATATTTTTAAGTCAGGTTAATTTGTTCTTATTTTTCTCATTTGACTGGAGATGGGAGAAGACCCCAGATCACTAGGTACTCAGATCTGAAATGGAGCATCTCTAGTTGGGCTACACTGCATGATTAGGGTACAAGCAGGCAGGGGAATTTAATTTCTTGGACTATCCTGTCATTTTGAAGACTGAAAGTCTTTCCTGCTACATGAAAACGATAATAAAAATAATAGCTAATGTTAAATTCTTACTAGGTGACAGGTGCGTGCTAAGTATTAAATGCTCTCATCCCGTGTCTGATTAGAATACCAGTGCATAGAAAGTTTTTATAATTTGCCCAAGGTCACCCAGCTATTAAATGCTGAAGAGGAGATTCAAATTCAGTCAGTACTCTTTAGAGTCAGTACTACTGTTGTTAATGTAACAGATTACATATGTCTCTGCCCCCAGACTCTTTTTATTCAACAACTTAGCATTTGGAGGTCGAGTCAGGAGATGATAGCACAGTCAGCCCTCCTTATCCACGAGCCCCACATCTGCAGAATCAACCAACCTTGGATAGAAAATATTTGGGGGGGGGGGAAGACCTCAATCTGTACTGAATATGACAGACTTTTTATAATTATTTCAAAAGCAATACAGTAGAACAACTATTTACATATCATTTGCATTGTATTAGGTATTATAACTAAAAATGATTTAATTTATATAGGAGGATATGCAAGATTATGTGAAAATAATATGCCATTTTATTATTTAAGAATCTTGAACAGCTGTGGATTTGGGTATCCAAGAGAGTCCTTGGCCAAATCTGTGTGAATATGTAGGGATGACTATATCACTTTTTTTTGCCACATCATTATTATGCCTGAAATTTAATAGGAGATATTGATATTTCTTTTCCAAACTCAATGTGTTTTGTTTGATTTTTACAAATATTTGACTTGCTCATGTTAGAATCTTGAATTTTGCTTTAGCTTATTTGAATGTTATATGTTAAGTTTTTTTCTTTGATGCCTCAAGTTGTAAAGAGACATAGGTATAGGAAAACATATTTAAACACTTAAAAGTCTCCTTTGACTCTACTTTCCCAAGTGGGAAGATGACGTTCTTCCTCTAATAATTTTAGTGATCTTATTGAATATGTCCCCAAACAAATTCATTAAAGCACAGAATTCCCTATGACCCTCACTTCCTAGAAACAAGTGATGACTATAGACATATTTGAGGGTAGAACCTGTTTCCTAATTTATCTTGCTCTATGAACTCCATGAACAATAACTGAATACCCAGTATTATAATCTTACATGTGAAGAGCACTTCTGAAATATTTTTTTAAAATTTCTTTAATAGCATCGCGAACTTTTTAAAAATTTTGCATTTTAACACTTTTAGTTAAAGCCCAATTATTTAACCTTCACCAATGTTTCATCAGAGATAGACACAGAACCTTTATTTTATTTATGTTTATGTGATGCTGAGAATCAAACCCAGTGCCTCACATGCTAGGTGAGCACTATACCACTGAGCCACAACTCCAACCCCTCTTCTGAAATATTAAAAAGGAAAATCCTCTAGTTTCTTCTCTCAGTGGTGGGCATGACAAAAATTTTTGAAAAATTGTAAAATACGAACTCTACTTTTTCTCAAGGTAAACTCATGTAAACAATTGAAGAAATTATTTTTGTGGTGGCATTCTTTTCCTAAAAGACTTAAGTCATTAATCAGCCATGATTAAGGATCCCTACATTTTCAAAACAGATTTAGTTATATTTGAAGTGGCTGGAAACCAATTTGGAGCAGGTTTAAGATGGCCTCATAACAGTTTGTCTCATGCTTGAATGGATTGGTATAATAGAAGTATAAACATGAAATAATATAGAAGGAAAGTTTGCAAAGAGGATTCCAAAGAGGTACCTACTGGATCTTTAAAAAAGAAGTAAGCTTAAAGGTCATAATTAAAATCTTTCTAGGGAAACGATAATGTTCAGTGGTAAGATCAAAAACCACATTACTGAAATGTAGCTGCAGCATTTAACCTACTCAATTGCCATTAAACTGGTAACTGGTGAAACAAATATTGTGGGTTGAATTTTAATTCTAATATGCTTAGCAAAACTGAATAACAGTATATCTCATCTATAGGGATACAAAGCTGGAATGTACTATACTATTGAAAATGTGTTCCTCGTCACTAGTATTTAATTAATTTTGAGGTGCACTACTATATTGATGATGCCTGTATGATCACAGTCCACACTCACAATGAACCCATCTAGTAGGTATTTTTAATGTTCTCACTGTACAGGGGAAAGTCAGAGAACTTTTATAGCTGGCTTGAATGCCAAAGCCAGGTCTCACAGTCTGCCTTTCTGGCTCCAGGTTTTGAGAACTCTAAAAGTATTGCTTTCTATCTGAAGAAGAAGAACATTTCCCATCCTTCTCTTTACTCACCTGCCTACACCAAGTAGACCTAACTTCCCACATACAGGTACACTTTTAATAAGCAACATTTTCTAAATGTTCTTCTAAAGGATTTTATTTCCTTTAAAGAGGGAATAAAGAGAAAGAACTTGGAACTACATCCTCTGACATAGAACATTTTAATTTACAAATTAATTAATCAATTAATTTCTCCATTGCTAATCCAATCATTGTGCTACAGACCACAGATGTCCAAGTTAAGGCCATTGAGCTAGATCCAGATCCAGCCAACTGTTTTGGGTTTTTTTGTTGTTTTTGTTTGGTTGTTTTTTTTTTTTTTACAGCCCAAAGGGCTAAGAATGTTTTTTACATTTTAAAACATTAAAATACAAATGATAACTTATGACTTGAAATTCATCAATAGTGAACAACTAATGTACATATACAAGGACCTTTAATGATAATTTGTCAGTATGTATTCATGAATTGTAACAAATGTACCACTCTGGTTGGGATGTTGGCAGTCTGGGAAGCTTGCATGTGTGGGGTAGGGGATATATGAAAATCTTTATAGCCCCTCTGCTTTGCTGTGAAACTAAAACTTCTCCGAAAATAAATGCTATTAAAAATATGAATGAAATTGAAATTCAGTGTCCATAAAGTTGCATTGGAAAACAGCCACCCTCATTCATTTATATATCATTTATGGCTGTTTTTACCCTAAAAGAATAAAGTAGTTGAGAACAGAAGGACCCAAAAGCCTAAAATATTTATCTAGGGAAGAATGTTTTCTAGCCATTCAGTCCATCATATCTAGAATATATTAAGCTACTGGTTGAGAGTGTTTCTTTAATCCTTCCATTTCTACTTAATAGTTATGAAGCTTTTGCCAAGTTTATAACTTTGTTAGCATCAGTTTTTTTCAACTTTTAAAATGAACTAATACTTTTAGGACCATTTAAGGGTTAAGTGGATTAATACACATAAAGCACCAAATACATGTTACCAATAATTTATTTTTATTTTGAGGTTCCACTTTCCTCCTAGGGCCTTCCATTGGAAAATGTTGTTTATTAAAAGTATACCTGTATGTGAGAAGTTAGGTCTAATTTGGTGTAGGTAGGTGAGTAAAGAGAGGGATGGGAAATGTTGTTCTTCTTCTGGGTATACTTCTCTCATCTATTTGAAATATGCAAGGGACACATTTGTCTGACTCTTTATCTACCAGGAGCTCTGACATGATATGGTTATTTCCTGTTTCTGTTTTACCATCCAATTTATCCTTTTTGATAGAAATTAGCTATATAACTTTATCTTCCAAAATGAAAAGTTGTCAACATAGCAAGTCAAGAACCAATTTGTCTTTTTCAACACCAGATTTCTGACATTTATGCATTTCTAAGTATCTATGCATTTATCCAAACATTTTCGATATTCCCAAATTCTTATAAAGCCACATTGTTATCTAAGCTTATTTCATAAAATTGCTGAATGACAGTAAAAAATTCGATTGAGTCACTATTCTGAAGATTTTTATTTTGTACAAAAAAATGTTTGCACTATTAAATAAGAAGTTCAGAATAGATTAGAATTCCAAAGGCCAAAAAGTGCCCGTTCATAAACCTCTTAATAAGGTTCTGTTATTTCATTTAATAAGATAGCTAGATTAAAATAACAGCCATTATGTGTTACATCTTTTCCTGAACATATACCCTTTCCTCTACATTGTTATCCATTTTAGGGGCCAAGACAATGAGTCATTCTTTGGATTTTTAAATTTCTTCAACTCTACTAGCTGGTCACTTTGGGCAAATAATTTTATTTTTCTGAGGCTATTTATTATTTTGTAAAATAGGAATAATACTAGTTGCCTGACTGAGCAGTTTTAGGAAGCAAACAAATAGTCCATGGAAATAATTAGTTTTGCGTAAGACACAATGCTTTTCTTTCCTTCATTACCTGTCAATCCCATAAAATGGATTTGCAAGCAATTTCCATTTCAATTCAGTCATGGAAATTAAAAAAATTCTTTTTCCATCCTGAAATTCAGGATCTCAGCTTATCAGTGTCAAAGCCCAGGCCAGCTACCTCTTCTACCTCATGTGACTGGTTGCTGTGCAAGTGACCTTTGTGCTGCTGGGCAGTGGGTAATGTGTTCTTCACCACTAGAATGAGTCTTCTTGGAAATTTGGGTTGCAGTGGGGAGAGCTCACAAATTGTTCTTTGCCTTTAGGTATCCTGTTCTTATTAACTGCTAGTTTCCAGAACTTGGGTAAAATCTCGCAGTTAGGGCCAGGACTAGGGCAAGGCAAAGTGAAGTGTTTTGCAAAATTTAGCTGGCACTCACTCTCAAGGAGATGCAAGATCTGAATATGTAACTTTTTCTTCCTATCTGCTGTATCATGAAAAAGTTTGGCCCTATTAAAGGAAAAAAAAAAAAAAGCCATACTCACTCTGTACTCACTATCCAAAGATGTGACCAATTGTCTTAAGTAAAGAAGGGAGGATTGAGGGTGGAAAAGAAAAAAACGTGTTATCTTGGTCGATTTTTACCAAACTCCCTTGCAGTGCATGTTGGGGCTTCAATGTCCATCCTTCACAGATTCTTGACGTGGAGGAGGTCCCACCAAAGATGGCACTCGAATGTTCAAAGCAAAGTGGGTACTTTTCAGGGTTTTGCTTGGTTTGGTATCGCTTTTGTCCTTATTCTTGGGCTTCCGAATCTGGGGTTCTGTCTCCCCCGGTTGTTATCCTAGCTCTTGCCCCAGATCACCGCCCCTTCTAACCCGCCGGAGTCCAGCCTTTCAAAAATTGAATTTGGGGCAGGAGGGCTCCTGAGCGCAGCTGTCCCTGGAGCCGGCGGCGGCGGCGAGCCACCTGGCTACGACTGTGAGCGCTGGGCGCAGGGCAGACACCTAGACGCCATGTCTGTGGATACGACCAGGTCCTTGGGGAAAGGTGAGTCCTCCAGATCGACCCTGGCCCGCGGACAGGGGGAGCCAGGTGACTGGTTCTGGGGAGGGCTGACAGGCGTTAACCTGTAGGTCAGCGGAGCTAGGAGGAACTTGGAGGGCTCCTCTGCCCCAAAGCCACGTGCGAAACTGTCCCTGTGGGACTTGGGGGGCTGAGCGCAGAGCTTTGGAGGGGAGTGAGCCCCTCTCCTCACTGAGCTAACCCGCCTCTGCGTCCTCTGCCCCTCCCCGCCCTGCAGGAAGCTGTCCCCCAGGGCCAGTACCTGAAGGTACAATCCGCGTCTACAGCATGAGGTTCTGCCCCTACTCGCACAGGACACGGCTCGTCCTCAAAGCCAAAGGCATCAGGTGAGGAGCTGGAGCCAAGGCTGCCCTGATAAAGCCCAGCGCTCCACAGGCAGGGGGGAATATTTAAAATATAGGGCACCCTCAGATTTTAGACGGGGCTCCCTGTCCTTTTCTCCGGAGGCAAAGTAAATGAAACACCCTTAAAATGAAAGTTGGGGTTTAAATGCCCATTCTTCACAGATTCTTGATGTGGAGGTGGCCACACCGCCTGTGGTACCCAAACGTCCAAAGCAAGGGTACCTTTCCAACCCTCCTGGAAGGCGGAGCTCTTTTCAGGGGCCTGTCCCTGCATGGAACTTTCAGACAAAGCGGAGCAAACTGAATGTTTGGTGGCTTTGGCAAACTGATTCCCTCCCCCATGTTTGTTTAGGAGGGGCACAGCCAAGGCTATGTAGGCCTTCTCCAGCTGCTCCCTTCCATGGGGTCCCCACCCCCACCCCAGCCATCTTAGGTGGACCCTGTTCTCGTTCTTTATTGTGCTTACTGCATCCAACACCGATCTTTCCTCCTAGTCCCTCCGTTTCGGCCACTGCCCCCACACTACTGCAACATGTCCTCCAAAACTGTGAGCTTGGGAGGGTAGGGACCTACCCTAGGAGAGAGCCCGGCACATAGTAGGTACTCAAAAAAGTGTTTCTTAAATGAAGGAATAAACCATTCCAAAAATTGAAATAGAAGGAACTGCTACTAACAGGTGTCTCTAAGGTTCCGATATACCTGAGAAGTGGGTACCTATCCTTCTAGAAGGAATTTTGCAGATGAACTTCTTCAGGTTTGGGTTGAGAAGGTTAAGCAACTTTGCTGGGATGTGGACTGTGAGTCCACCAACCTTAAGTTCAAACGTAGAGAATGGGTCACTTCAGGCTCTGACTCTTGTCTCAAAGAGTCCATCATGGGGACAGGGGGCATACAGCATTTTCAGATTTGCATCAGAGAATACAGAGATAGGTGCAGAGATGCTTTATTATGACATGTATTTGCACATTCTTCCCTTTTGCTCAAATCGAATTGCCTCTAAGGTTACCTGTTTTTAAAGAAAAATAATAGCAACCCAATAATTTCCCTATTTGGGGACAAACTGGCAGCTTAGGAACTGATGATGTAAATATTTCTTTAAAGCAGTTTCTTCACCTTAGCGCTGTTGACATTTTTATTCAGATGATTCTTTGTTGAGGAGGGGGAGGAAGGGCTGTTTTGAAAATAGTTGGATAGTTAGCACCATCCCTGCCTTTTACCTATTAGATTATAGTAGTTGTTGCCAAAAAATGTCTCCAAAGGTTGCTAAATGTTCCTTGGGGAGGTGTGGTGGCAAAAGTCACCTGATTGAGCACTGCTGCTTTTAATATAATTTATTAGACTGAGCAAAGAATGTACTCATTTGTTTCCTTTAATCTTTTTAAACATTATGTGACTGTCTCTGATAACTTTATAGGCTTGAACCTCTAATAATTATAATTAAAAATAAGAATTAAAAGCTTATTGTATACTAATGAACAAAGCACTGTCCCAAACAATTCATAGTCACTTCCTTGATCATCACAACAGTGCCAAGAGATGGGGACAGTTTATCACCCTCCTTTTATAATTAAGGACACAGAGCACAGAAGGTGAGGGAGTGTGGCCAAGGTCTTGGGCTAGTCTGTCCAGTTTGGTGCCTGAACTTGTGCTCTTCTTTGTTAACATTTACCACAACATATCATGACATATTAACACCAGATTTGTATTTTTAAGCTTTAAAATGTCCTAAACTCTCTAATGCCATGAGTCACAAACACTGAGTCAGTCTGCTTAGCTCTGATCTTGACTTCTTAGCACAAGGCATTGGGCACCAGATTCAACCTCCAGTCTTATTTCCTAGGAAGTGGGGAATCCCGAGGAACAAATGGGATCAGGCATAGAAAACATCTAACACCTTTTACTGAAGGAATGAAGACAATGATATAATATAGTTTATACAAAACTTGAACTTTTTTGAAAAAACTACTATAATCACAAAGTTTAATTTTATAAATTGATTATTTCAAGATGGGCATCTGCCTATATACACATTTTTATTCTGTCTTCTTTTGTCATTGCTTTTTAAGACACGAAGTTATCAACATTAACCTGAGAAACAAGCCTGATTGGTACTTTACAAAACACCCTTTTGGCCAAGTTCCTGTCCTGGAGACCAGCCAATGTCAACTGATCTATGAGTCTGTCATCACATGTGAATACCTGGATGACGCTTACCCAGGACGGAGGCTCTTCCCATATGACCCTTATGAACGAGCACGCCAGAAGATGTTATTGGAGCTATTCTGTAAGGTATATTTAATTTTAAAGAGCCACTTAACAGTCTATTTTACTTTGCATGTCTTTGCCAAATTTCAACCCATTATAAAGTCAAATCATTGGTGAAATGGTTTTATTTTAATACCATTTGAGCCTCAGGGGAATAATTGCCATGGAATTAGAGTAGGGTCTGACCACTGATAGTAAAGGTTGAAGGCTTATTAACTCCTAGGTGCATTTCCATTTCAACTGGCAGTCTTGGCAGGTCTGACTGCCACATGGTAATGACCATGTGAATTGAAGTAGGGATACTGACTGAAAACTGGTGATCCTTTAAAGAGAGTATTTCTAAACATCATAGAGTGAGAAGATTATGCATGAAAGGGAATTGCCCTTTAAATGGGGCAAGGATACTGCTATCCAGGAAATATGAAGAAGGGAGAAAAGAGGGCAGCTATTGATAATGAAAGAAGAGGTGATGGAGTCATTTTAAGGTAATTCTCTTTGGAAAGAAAATGATGGCGTTAATAGTACACAATGGTATTAATAGTACATATAAATTGATGTCCATGCACTGCCCTAACTACTTCAGAGGCCAACTTATTTCATTCCACATCTGCCTTTGAGTTGGGCACTTTTATCGTATCCATTTTTTCAGATGAGAACACTGAGGCTTAGAGGGGTTAAGCGTCTTCTCTAAGCCTCAGTGTACAGGATAGTAATAGCCAATCAGGTAAGGAGTGCTGAACCCCCGTTAAAGCACTTTATTTTCCTGAGTGCTGTAAGAAGTGGGTTCCTGCATAACCTCGAGCCCCTTGCAGGGAGCACTCTGGTCGTGGTGTGTGGGTGTTGGTCTGTTCTGCATTGTAAAACTTTGCTGCAGTTTTAGGCAGGTCAGGAACATGGTTCCCACAGACTGCTCCACTAAGAACCTGTGTCCTCCGAATAGGTCCCACAGTTGACTAAGGAGTGTCTGGTAGCGTTGAGATGTGGGAGAGAATGTGCTGATCTGAAGATCTCCCTGCGTCAGGAATTCTGCAACCTGGAGGAGGTACAAAAAGGGGCCCCTCTCATGGTCAGGTGGATTGGAGAAAGCCATGCAGGGTCTCCGGCCTGGTCACTTTGACTTCTTCTACTTTAAAGGCTTATTCCTTTTGCCAGACTCTGCTAAGTCCCACAGATCATCACCTTCCACTGACATGCTTTGGAATTATTCTTAAAAATCTGGTAGGAGTGTACAGTTTGCACCAAGTGCTTTCTTTTCTGGAGTCACCATGTTTCTTGAGTATCTCAGAAAATGCACAGCTTTTCTGGCTTCTGCCAGGGAGGCCAGGATATTAGCTAGGGATTGTGTTTGGCTGCTGGTGGGCCTAACTATTCTGTATTTATCTTATAAAAGTTTATTCTCTCACATCAAAAAGCCAGAGGTAAACTTGGCATCATGGCACACACCTGTAATCCCAGCTGCTTGAGAGGCTGAGGCAGGAGGATACCAAGTTTGAGGCTAGCCTGGACAACTTAACAAGACCCTGTCTCAAAAAAAAAAAAAAATGGGAGACTGGGGGTGTAGCTTAGGCTTAGTGGTACAGCATTTGGCTAGCATGCATTGTGTCCTCAATTCAGCCCCCTGGCGCTGGGGAAAGCCACAGGGAGACAGTTCAGGGCCATTTGGTGGCTTCCTTATAAAATTACCCTGTACTGAGACTCTTTCTCTCTTTCAGTTTTCTCGTCTTTAGTGCAAGGTTTTCATCCTCAAAATGACAAGATTGCTGCTGGAACTGCAGTCATTACATCCCAATTCCAGGTTCTGGAAAGGAGAGTAAAGAGGAAAAAAAAAAAAAAGGCAAATGGCGACGCTCCTTTAAAGGACTTTTCCTTGAAAAGTGACTGCTTAAACAGGATTTAGTTGTAGGGTCCTAACTATTTTCAGAGGAGGCTGAGAAATTTGTCTTTTATCTGGGACACTCTGAATAAAGTTAGTGTTGTGTAATTAAGGAAGAAAAAGAAAGTGGGTGTGGGTGGACAAGGAGCAATCTCTGCCAGTAGATTCTAAGTAGTGGAGCTACTTATTCCTTACCTCTAGAATAATCTGGAAGGTGGTTTTTGGCTTCCTTTATCTTTGTTCCAGAAATTGATAAATACCTTGGATGGATGCATTGTTTCTTCATTGGTAGCCAGAAAATGCATTTTTCGCCCCTGAAGGGAAGGCTGGTTATTAATACTCTTTCATTTGACCTTTGTCAAGTGAAAGCAGTATAAATTTATACACACTTCATTCCTTATCTTAGATTTGCATAATTGCAGTACTTGTAGATGATGAAGTCACGAGTAAACGATATCAACCTTTTCTCTGGGGTCCTGGGCTGTGGCCTTGACGCCAAAGAGGCCTGGGATATGGGAGAAGGAGTCTTGGGTCTTAGACTGACTTTACTGGGTTCCAGAACCCTCAGCGAGAGGAGGCCTGGTGCTGGCTCCAGATCTATTTCTCTCAACTCTCCATTTAGAGGATGGCTGAACTTTGTAAAGTGCAGGTTGCTAAATGAATATATAAAATTATGGTGGAGGAACAGGTTTCCTTCACCTGGGGCTCTGTTCAGCACAAGGGAACCTGTATGTATTTTTTGCCTTGCATAATGCTGCAGGTACTTGGCATTCACTGCTTTAAATAATTTGCTCTTTTCAACAATCATTTCAACCTGAATGTACTAGTCCTACTTTGCAAATTAGAGTGGCCTCATCCCTAATCATTGAGCCACATCCCCAGCATTTTTATTTTTTATTTTGAGACAGGGCCTTTCTTAGTTTCTCAGGGGCTCACTAAATTGCTGAGGCTGGCTTTGAACTTGTGATCCTCCTGCCTCAGCCTCCCAAGCCTCTGGGATTATAGGCATGCATCAATCTTCATGTGTTTTAAAATGCTCATCCCAGCAACAGTGAGGAGGGTGGGTAAGGGGGCCAACAGGACCACAGTCAAGAGGGTTGGAGAGGGAGAGATTTTAAGAGTTAAAGATGAGATGGAACCTGGTGAAGGAGCTGAAGTCATGGAAGTTGGTTTTCAAGTTTGTGTTTGTAGCCAGTAAATGTGATGCTTTTCACTGAAAGAGGGTTGGAAGGCGGATTCATTTTGCTCTGTTTGGGGTACTAATGGGATAATCCTGGAGACAGAGCTTAGGAGAGTGATATGGGACAATTTTACTAGCTAGAAGCATTAACCCCAAATCAGTAGGGTGGTCATAAATGTTTAAGAACCAACTCTCTGAAATAAAGAAGGGGGAAAGTCCCTGATTTTTAGCTTTTGTCAATTTCAATGGTGTAAATCCCCTCCCAAGGCTGATTTTAAGCTACCCATGTGCTGCCTCTGAATTCAGAGTTGGAAAGAGGTGTGGGCAGCTGGCTCCAGTTCATCACTAATAACACATTCCACTTTATCTTTATTTACTTGAGCCCCAGAAATACCTGTTGCTAACCACCCCAGGATCAGGTAGCTTTCACTGATGTTACTGAAGGACCACAAAATATGTAGCGTTATCCTAGCAGATTTGAATGTGGTTTTTGTCCCATAGAATGTTAACAAGAATATTAGCTACAATGAAGGCAATGTCAGAATCTGAAAACATGACCAGTGGACTTGTGTTATTTGATTAATTCCTCTAAATATCAATGTATTGACTCTAAGGAGACTCTAGTGAAATTGAAACTTGTCAGAATAATTCTAATAGCAACAACCCCCTGACACATAACTCTTTCACATGGCTTTGTACAATCAGGATTTTATATGAGCTAGAAATATATTGAATACCCATGGTCTTTCTGAATGATAAATGGGCCAAGATTTCAATATACAATCTGCCATGTTACCTCCAGGCAAAATGCTGTTCACATTTTGCAATTTTAAACTCTGACACTTTTTTTTTCTTTTGAAATAAGTAACCTGTCTGGTTTTAAAGTTTTTTTCTTTAAAAACCCAGTTCATTAAGATTGAAGATTTATTATTACATAGCCACATTTTTTCTATAATATTTTTCACATTTCTTTGAGATCTATTACCACTGCTTTTATTATTGAACCAGCTGGCTCTCCGCTCGCTTTCCTCTACTGAACATTGGCATGAGTTTTAAAACTGTTGGGATGCCCTGGGCTAAACACACTTTAAATCTGTCTTCAAACAGATTTTCTAGCTTTTCTTGAATCATTAATTGAAGTGGCACACATTTTTTAGCTTTCTTCTCTTTTTTTACAGTATTACTGACTTTTCCATTTCAAAATAGCATTTGGACCAGTCTTGGTTTTGTCTTTGTGGATTTCAGTTTGACAGGACCTTTCAGTAGCTCTTTTTCACCAGGGAGTTCATTCAGAACGTTTTATGGAAGTCAAGTCCAGTGCACTGAAGGGCAGGATTTGGCCGGATTTCTGTGACGCTTCACATGCTTTCTTTCATTCAGTGTCCACATTTTGCTATTGCTTGGTTCCTTCCCAGTCATCATCAGGAGAGGAGTGAGAAGGTGACATAACCCTGAAACATCACACTGGGAATGAGGACCTCATCAGCAACAGAAGCCTTCCCCTTCTGGAAGCCGTAGGACACCATGCTTTTGCTTCTTAGCATTCATGAACCCGCTTTGTCCTACGTTCCTTTGCATTCCACACTGCCAAATCTGGTTACAAGTCCTAGGTATAGACTTTACATGAGGTCAAGTTTGCATAATTTGTGTGAGCATCATTCAGGAGCATCTGTGGTTACTTTCTTTTGGAGGGGAAGATACTAGGGATGGAACCCAGGGATGCTCTCCCACTGAATTAGATCCCTGCCCTTTTTATTCTTGATTTGGAGATCGAGTCTCACTGAATTGCAGAAACTGGCCTTGAACTTGCAATCCTCCCTGCCCTTGGCTTCCCAAGCAGCTGGGGTTATAGGTATGCACCACCATGCCTGGCAATACTTTGTTGATTCTAAATTTTACCTGTAATCTTCACTTTTAATCTGTCCTTTTTCCTCTCCAAAAGAAAGACATTTTAGCCCATTAGGTTCTATTGTCTTGTTTTTTTTTTTTGGGGGGGGGAGGGGTTTGGTATGGGGATTGAACTCAGGGGCACTGGAATAATGAGCCACATCCCCAGCCCCACTTTGTATTTAATTTAGAAACGGGGTCTCACTGAGTTGCTTAGCACCTTGCTTTTGCTGAGGCTGACGTTGAGCTCTCCATCCTCCTGCCTCAGCCTCCTGAGCTGCTGGGATTACAGGCATGCACCACTATGCCTGGCTGTCTTGGTGAAATTTCATTGTTGTTCTTCTTTAATTTTTATTAATTTCAATGTTGAAATTATTTATGTTGTTTGTTTCTCCTTTAATATCACTAAGATAGGAAGAAAAGAAAGTTTATACTTGGCTAATTCTTTATTGAAAATAATCTGTAGTCTTTTACCACAAAGTATCTACAACCTAATGTTATTTTTTTATCAACTAGGTTGACACATTTACAAACTAAACCTATTGTTACTAGCTATTTTTATAACAGTTTTGTTGAGATATAATTGATGTATCATGAAATTTTTTTTCCTGTTTTTTTCTTTTGTGTGTGTGGGGCGGGTAGAGATTAAATCCAGGGCACTTTAGCACTTTACCAATGAGCTACATTTCCAGCCATTTTTATTTTTTATTTTGAGAAAGGGTCTCATTAAGTGGCTGAGAGTCTTGCCAAGTTGCCCAGGCTGGCCTCTACTTGTGATCTTCCTGCCTCAACCTTCCTAGTTGCTAGAATTATAGGCCTTTTTTTTTTTAATAGCCTTCTGCTATACCATGTCCCACCATGTAAATAATAGAATAATAATTATTTTTATTATTTAAAAGCTAATTTTACTTTTCTCCAATTATAAATGAATATACTTTTTTTCTATCCTTTTCTGCTATGTATATTTTTATGTACTTAAAATGTGTTGCTATAAAACTTACCATTACATAAGGATTTTCCTCATATTCTGTAACCTCTATAAATGTTTATTTATATATGTAAGGGTCTTATTAGAGAAAAATTATTTATGATGGCAAAAAAT